TAATAAGAAAATACTCGAAAACTGTCATCAAAGCCCATCATCAAGAATGTTGCAGAATATCAAGACACTTACAAACAGTTTCTCAGTGGTAGCACTCACCCACTCAGCAGGCAAGTCATCATTCTGCCACTGGGTGTGTGATGCTATCACTGTTGGACATCTTTCATCACCACCAGCTTCATCATCAAGAGAATATCAAGGTAGTTGAAAAGTAACTGTCAGTGGTAGCATTCGCCCACTTAATAGCCAAAATTTAAAGGCATAAATTCTAAAAATGTATTTTTTCAGCGAAAGACGATGAACACAATTTTGTCTCTGTGAATGCTCAACATCTTCAGTAGACATGTTCCAATTCTGTCACTGGATTTGCTGCAGCAATTACAGGGAGATATTACCACCATTTTTTCATCATCTACTGAGCATAATCATCATCAGCTACTAAGCGACTCTTTTTTAAGAATTTATGTCTATGTGAATGCTCAACATTATGCAGTAGATAAGTTACAATTCTGTCACTGAATGAAGTTGCAGCAATTGCATTGAGATGAATATCGACTGATCCAAGTGAGAGGGCGAAGAATTCTGAAAATGACATGTTGACTTCAGCTGTTTGACATTGATTAAGCAGCAGACTTATTAACTCGGAAAGGGATAAACACCGTATCGCCTTTCGGGAGCTGCCAACCGCGAAGCGAGGCGTTTACGTTACGGCGCGGATAAGTGTGGGTTGTAGTAAGGAGTTTCATACAAAGAATACTACTGACCGCCTCGAGGTGATACTTACAATCCCTTTCCGAGTTGATATGTGTGCTACGTCCTTTAATTCACTAGACTTTTTTACAGAAATTAGTTACAGAATACATGTTTTCCAACATTAGGTGTTTAGAAGCAGCAAGATGAAGATGTTTGTTTCTCGGTGGCAGCATTCGCTCATCCAGTAGTCATGTCTGACATCTGACACTGGTTAAGCGTTGTCTGTCACTGTCAGGAACGAAATCAGCGGGAGATGACGTCATCGCCATCATCATCATCATGTCACGCGGCGGCAGTTTTCGCCCAGCCATCAGACCAAACGAAATCAACGGGAGATGACGTCATCACCGTTATCATCAATCATCATCATCATCATGTCACGCGGCAGCAGTCTTCACACAGCCATTAGTGTTCATTGTCATTCTGAACATGGCAGTTTGAGGACTTAGCTGCTGTGTGACATTCATCATCCTCTCAAGAAAAAATCATTCACTACAATTTTATGCAGGAAATAATTGCTAAAAAGCATGACTGTTTATATAGGTACATAGAAGAAGATTAAAAAGGTTTGTATCTGAGTGACTCAGTGTTTTTTTATTGCATTTATTTATAGAAATCATATCTAGCAGTGTTTAGAAGCAGCAAGATCTTTCAATGACAGCATTCGCTCATCTAGTAGTCATGTTTGACATCTGACACTGGATGTGCGATGTCTGTCATTGTCAGGAACAAAATCAGTGGGAGATGACATACCTACAGAAGACCAGCACAACAGAATGTTCATTTTTGTTGCGATACAACACTTCATACCACTAAATAATTGCCAGTTTATTACGGAATAAGGTGCCAATTTATCACGGAGAAAAGAGTGTCACGCGGCGGCAGTCTCCACACTGCCATTAGTTGTCATTCAAAATGGCCAGAGTGTTGACTCAGCTGCAGTATGACATTCATCATCCTCTCAAGAAAAAATCATCTACTACAATTTTTCGCAGGAAATAATGATTAAAAAGCATATTTTTATCCACTTGAAAAATATAGAAGAAGATGTTTGTTTCTCGGTGGCAGCATTCGCTCATCCAGTAGTCATGTTTGACATCTGACACTGGTTAAGCGATGTCTGTTACTGTCAGAAACGAAATCAGCGGGAGATGACGTCATCGCCATCATTATCATCATTAATCATCATCATCATTTCACGCGGCGGCAGTCTTCACCCAGCCATCAGACAGTTTGTCATTCTGCAGATGGCAGTGTGTTTGACTTCTGCTGTTTGACATTGACACTTTTAAAAGAATATTTTTGTAGTTTTTTATAACTTTTGTAATTTTATTGCATACGTGTCTCAATTAATGCTGAGCGAGCGTCTTTTTACCAAAAATACCTTAATATCTTTGTATAATTTTTGTTTTTGTATTTTGTGTCAATTAGAAATTATTTTCAGCATTCAAATTGTGTCTTTGCAGTAGCATTCGTACTCTCAGTAGACATGTTAATACTCAGTTACTGGGGGTCCAATGCTTGCTCTAATACACAAAATAATAATTCATCACAGAAGAAACTTATCCAGAATCCAGCATAGAAGATTTGGAAGAAGAAATCGACCACAGACCTTCAGAGAACATCGTGTCTGACAGTAATAGCATTCACACAACCAGTAGACACGTGAGCATTCTGTCACTGCGCGTGTAATGCTACTGCTGTTAGATATTAGTCAACTCTATCTTGAAGAATATCATCATCATCAAGTCATTTAGTCTCCACTACAGGAGAACGACCCTCTCTAATTTACCAAGAGGCAAAAGGAGTTTTGGCCTACACTCCCCACGCTGGCCAGACGGGTTGGAGAGTTTCTAATCGCCTTTAAAGACATCCACGGGAACAATGAGTGTCATATTTTACTCTGCCAGCACCATACAGATAAAAGAATATCATCATCATCTTCATCAACAGAACTTTACAGTCCACTGCTGGACTATGAGCCTCCTCCACTTTAGTGGAGGGTTTTGCCATAATCTCCACGCTTGGCAGGCGGGTTGGAGATCGCAGTTTAAAAGATTGATGTTTTTCAGAGAGCGCTGCTACCCGTTCTCTGTTTGATGTGTAGTCCCTAAGTCGCCTCTTACGACTCCCGCGGGAAGAGTAGGGGTTGGTGACAAATGTATTCTACTCTGCCGTCACCACATGGCTTAAACGAAAACGGTAAAAGGTAAAATAATATGCAACAAGATATTTGTCTAGAAGAATGCTCCAGTATATCAAGATAATGAAATGTTTCTCAGTGGCAGCATTCACCCACTCAGTAGCATGTATAATTCTGTAACTGGGAGCGTGATGTCTGTCACTGTTGAACATCGGTAACCATCAAAAAATTTACAGAATATTGAAGATACTTCCTACCTACACCCGACCATATGACCAGAAAAGTGCTAGACATCAAAACTAAGCCCCGCTGACGAGGAAGACCCCGAATCAATAACGACCTTAAAGAAGCCCAAGTTAACAGTAAGACAGCCCAGGACCGAGCCGCCTGGAGACGCAAGACGCGGAGGGCCGACCCCAAATAAAATGGGAATGGGCCAGGCAAAGTAGTATACCCTGAAGATACTTCAAAACTGTCACGCAATGGGAGCATTCACTCATCCAGTGGACATGTTAACCTTCTGTCACTGGATCAGCGATGCTGTCACTGTAAGATGTCAATCAGAAATGTCAACATAAAGTCCTCTTTTTGTGACTGCTCAACGTATTCAGTAGACATGTTTTAATTCTGTCACTGGATACGCTGCAGTAGTTGTAGGAAGAAGTAACAACACATTCTAATTAACTAGCAATTATGTGGAAGAAAAACATAATAATATTGTCTTATTGAATGCTAATGATAAATGTAATTTAATGCTTATTGATTTCTTACTCCATGATCCCATATCTTAACCCTTAACTGGTATAGAGAAAAATATTTTTCATTACTTTTGTACCTTATGTTTTTTCAATAAGATTCAAAATATGGTGGCAACAATTCTGCCACTACCAGGTAAAGGTTTAAGATGAAAATTCAAGAATACCTCCTGGAAGAAATGTACCAAAATCGTCTTTCAGTGGTAGCTTTCACATAGACATAGGTACAACGGTTTAGCATTCTATCGGATGTGTAGTGCTTTCCTCTGTTAGACTAAAAACTGAATATGAAGACTTTTTCAGCATTAAACTGATGAATAAATAATGTCTCTCAGTGGTAGCATTGACTTACCCAGTGGTCAGTTTAATATCTGACACTGGATAGGTGAAGCCTGCTACTGACAGATACCAATCTTAGCGAAATACTGACGTCTGACATCTTTTACAATGTTCATTGACTTTAAAGGTGATCTTTAATAAAATTGTGGTATTTTTTGGCACAAATAAAAGGTAACACTTTCTTTATTGTTGTTGTGTTTCTGTTTTTTGTATCAAATATTATCTAATTCATCTAAAGCCCGTTTTCACCATCAATCCCAAATTTTTAAGTGACCCATAAGAAAACCAAATTCCTGTGTTGTGTTACCATAGGGGTCACTTAAAAATTGACTGAATGGTAACACAACAGCAATTTTGTTTTCATGGGGGTCACTTAAAAATTAGGAATTGATGGTGAAAACGGGCATATGTCTCTCTGGGTTGTCTGGAAGAGACCGCTTCCTAAGGATAAGACGGCATAAATTGTTCCGTTTATATTTTTAATTTTTATTTGACAGTTTTATGTGTTTTAGTGTATCCATCTATGTAGGTACATATATTTGACTTTTTTCAGATTTCAAACGTCAGAACGTCTCATTGCAGTAGCATTCAGTCACCCAGTAGATATGTTGACATTCTGTCACTGGGTGTCTTGATGCATGCTCCAATAGACAATATTCATCACTCCAATAAGATTGCTGTTTGATTTTGAAGAAAATGAATCCGAAGTGACAGTGACAGTCATTTTGACATGTGTATTTTGCTGCAAATTTTTAGCCGACTTAAAAATAGAGGAGGTTCTTAATTCGATTGCATGTTTTTTATTTTTGTCACCGCAGAACTCCGTCGTTATTTTTATTGATTAATTCAACCTCAATTTTTCAACCTGTCCCCCCAAAATATGAGGTTGAATATTGTCTGCTCCTTCGAGCCGGATTTATTTTATTTTACTTTATATTTTAATTTTTAATTTATTTAAGTTATTTTTCATAATTCAACCTCATTTTTTCAACATGTTTCAACTAATTTATTTGGTCTATCGTATAACAATAAAACAAAAATCACTTACCTTATTAGTCAGGCATTCTTGGAAGTCCTTCTTCATGACCGACACGGAGACTCGATCCTGGGGCCTCTTGGGGCCGCTTACTGATGTCACAACAGTCTCCAAGTTCAGTTCTACCACCTGGAATTTATTTTTTTATTCTTTAAGAACTTTGATTCGAATTTAAACCTTATTATTTTTACGCCTTAACATTTTTATCATAAAGCTGTTATTTCGTCATCATCAGTAGGTAGGTCCGGAAAATCGAATCCGTTTTGTTTTAAGAATAAACTTGTCATTGTGACATTAAAACTGTCAATGCGTCGTCGTCAACTTACTCTGTTAAAAGTTATCCGACAACTAAGACAATTGAAAAGTAAGCCCTAAGCTATGCCTTAGGGGCTGATTCTTCAATCGTCAGATATTTTTTAACTGAAGAATTAATTTGTCATTTTGTCATATTTCCCATACTGAAACTGTCAATTTGCCACACTTATTCTTCAGATAAAAGTTAAAACTGACGATTGAAAAATCAGCCCTAAGGAAATAAAAATACCTCAGAGAAAATAGGGTCCTGCTCAGCGTTGTTATAATCCCTGAACTGTTTGGTAGCGCGCAGGTAAGCCTCTATGATTTGAATCTTTTCGTTGGCACGGTCTGAAAATGGAAAAATATTGGACTAATTTATTTGCACAGAAATAAATGAAATAATTTATTATCTGGGGGCACGGCAGTGCCCCCACCAAGTCGAGCAAAAAAGCGGCACGGCCGTACCATCCTTTTCTCGAAGCAATTCAGGCCATTTTCGACCGCCTGTAACTTCGTTGTGGATAAAACTAGAAGGCTGAATTTTCATTAGCTATGCAGGCATTGTAAAGACACGGTATATTTAAAATTTCATTCAATTTGAACCAGTAGTTTAAGAATTATAACGGGTCAAAGTTACTTAATTTTGTCACTCACTGACTGACTCACTGACTCACTGACTCACTCACTGACTCACCGATCATCAAAACTCTAAGGCACTTCTAGCAGACCTAGAAGCTTCAAATTTGGAATATAAGTAGTGTTTGGTGTATGAATCAAGGAAAAACTAAAATATTTGGGGGCACGGTAGTGCAACCGCCAAGTCGAGTAAAATTTTTCAATTTCGGTCCAGTTTTCTAGATACATAACTGCTGTCTACAAAATACAAAAAGAAATGAGATCCCATCAAAAACAATACTTGTCAAAAAAACCAAGTCTCGCAACTCAGTTGTTCTACGGTAAAAAGTTGTGAGATCCATGTAATACCAAGTCCAGGCCAGGAAATCTTTAACGTTTTACATAAATATATTGACTTGGCCATCGCATGAAAACACGTGTAAATTAAATTATTTAGTGCGATGGCCAAGTCAATAATTTATGTAAAACGTTAAAGATTTCCTGGCCTGGACTTGGTATTGGCTCTGTGCACGATTACAGCGCCAACTAGCGTCCACAAATTTGTGGGCTCTGTCACATTGACATTTATTTTATTTTATTTTATTAAGGAAAACAAACAGTTGTACAATAAGAATTACAATTAAAACCTTATGTAAACATTTAAGTAATTATACAACCAACACCGTTATCCACAAGAGGACTGTGGGTCTAGAATGCGCGCCGCGAAACGATGCAACCGCGCGATTTTATCGATTTAACGTGATAAGTCCATACATTTCGTGATAAGTCCATTTAGGTCGTATATTTGTGAAAAAATATCGAAATGAAAAAATAACAAATATTTTCGACTAATAAATTGTTGCGATACCACGATTTGGGTGGAAAAAAGGTTTTGAAATCATTTTGGTCATTCAAGTCAAATGAGGTAAGTCCAAAAAGTGTGTTTAATTTTGATTGTGTCAGGGTTTGTTTACTTCATTTATAGTTGTAGTTTTACAGTAAAACAAAAAGAAAAAGCTACTTTAACGGTTTCATTATATAACAGTAAATATATTTAAATGTTCCTGTATCGCTAGTAATAAATTAAATATCGTTTTCAGATGGAAATCAGTATTGTTTTGAAGACCGGGTTTGTGAGTGTTACAATATCAAATTCCAACTACAAACCGTATTTAAAGGAAAGTTGTTGGTATTGGCTGGACAAGTTCGAGATGTAGAAGAATTAAGAACAAAACAAGGGCAGAGTTCAATAATTCACGCCCTCATCATAAGGCAAACATCTGTGCACAACAACTACTGTGACCCATTTTTGTACTACCACGTTGTATAGTCTAGTTATTTCCAAATTGTAAACGGCTATTAAACCAGCCCTATCGAAATACAGTCTACTCTTTTATTCAAGTTCCCAGTAGGACCCTTTTCATGCGATTAATTAATGATATTAAAATGTATTAAGTAGAATCGCTTTGCCATTGACAGATACGTCTGATGACAGAGCTTACATTATTTCTACTTTTGACCACCATGAGCGCTGCGATAGATTATGTTACCCCCACCTAGTACTTCGCACCCAGCGAATAAGCTGCCTACGGTTTGATAAACAATAATGTTTATGAAAACAAATGATTGCCAGAGCCAGTGGAAGTAATACAATGTAAACTCTTTATTTATTTATTTTATTTTATTTGTTTAACAATGTTTCAACAGCATTTAATAAAATGTGCAGGAAGATACAACTTGAACATAAGACACTCAAGGGACTGAGCATTTTTTGACGTTATAGAGAGTTGTCGTTGTATAACGTAACATGGTTAATCAGATAGAAACATGGTAAACCAACGAGGTCAAGGAATTGTGACGTTATAAAGAATTTTACGTTAAAATCGAGTGACGTTATANAAAAGAAAAAGCTACTTTAACGGTTTCATTATATAACAGTAAATATATTTAAATGTTCCTGTATCGCTAGTAATAAATTAAATATCGTTTTCAGATGGAAATCAGTATTGTTTTGAAGACCGGGTTTGTGAGTGTTACAATATCAAATTCCAACTACAAACCGTATTTAAAGGAAAGTTGTTGGTATTGGCTGGACAAGTTCGAGATGTAGAAGAATTAAGAACAAAACAAGGGCAGAGTTCAATAATTCACGCCCTCATCATAAGGCAAACATCTGTGCACAACAACTACTGTGACCCATTTTTGTACTACCACGTTGTATAGTCTAGTTATTTCCAAATTGTAAACGGCTATTAAACCAGCCCTATCGAAATACAGTCTACTCTTTTATTCAAGTTCCCAGTAGGACCCTTTTCATGCGATTAATTAATGATATTAAAATGTATTAAGTAGAATCGCTTTGCCATTGACAGATACGTCTGATGACAGAGCTTACATTATTTCTACTTTTGACCACCATGAGCGCTGCGATAGATTATGTTACCCCCACCTAGTACTTCGCACCCAGCGAATTACATGGATCTCACAACTTTTTACCGTAGAACAACTGAGTTGCGAGACTTGGTTTTTTTGACAAGTATTGTTTTTGATGGGATACACCTTGTTAGCCACAAGCTCTGTCAACGTGATAATGATGATGAAATTATCATCATCATTTCAGCCACAGGACGTCCACTGCAGAACATAGGCCTCCCCAATGACTTCCACATCGCCCGGTTGCATCCAGCGCCTTCCTGCCACCTTTATGAGGTCGTCGGTCCACCTTGTGGGAGATCGTCGGTCCACCTTGTGGGAGGTCGTCGGTCCACCTTGTGGGAGGTCGTCGGTCCACCTTGTGGGAGATCGTCGGTCCACCTTGTTTGGAGGTCGTCGGTCCACCTTGTTTGGAGGTCGTCGGTCCACCTTGTGGGAGGTCGTCGGTCCACCTTGTGGAAGGTCGTCGGTACACCTTGTGGGTGCACGTCCTTAAAATGAATGAAATAAATCACTCACTAGTCTGCGCCAAATACTGCAGCGACCGGTCATCCACCGGGAAGTAAGCCACAGTGGCCCCAAATTCCGGGCACATGTTAGCCACAGTGGCTCGGTCAGCGATGCTCAGGGCTGACACTCCGGGCCCGAAGAATTCCACGAACTTGCCCACCACGCCGAGAGAGCGGAGGTGCTGGAATGAACGAGTGAACGATGAATGAGCGAACGAATGAAGATAAAATAAACACAGCTTAAAAATAAAGATAATAAAACAGGTCCAATCAGTCAGTGAATCCGACAGTCATTTGTTTCTACAGTCAATTATCTCTTAAGTCATTTTTTTCTACATTCAGATGTTTCTACAGTCAGTTGTTTTTACAGTCATCTGTTTCTAGTTTTTTTTTTTCTACAGTCAATCATTTCTTAAGTCATTTGTTTCTACAGTCAGTTGTTTCTACCGTCATTTGTTTCTACAGTCAATTGTTTCTACAGACAATTGATTCTTAAGTTTTTTTTTCTACAGTCCGTTGTTTCTACAGTCAGTTGTTTCCATAGTCAATTGTTTCCATAGTCAATTGTTTCTAAGGACATATTTTTCTACAGTCAGTTGTTTCTACAGTCAATTGTTTCTACAGTCATTTGTTTCTACCGTCATTTGTTTCTACAGTCATTTGTTTCTACAGTCAATTGTTTCTACAGTCAGTTGTTTCTACAGTAAATTGTTTCTACAGTCCCTTGTTTCTACAGTTGTCTCTACAGTCAGTTGTTTCGTCAGTTGATTTATCAATCAATTGCTACACCAGTCAGTCAGTTGGCCCCAAAGTCGGGGCACATGTTAGCCACAGTGGCTCGGTCAGCGATGCTCAGAGCTGACACTCCGGGCCCGAAGAATTCCACGAACTTGCCCACCACGCCGAGAGAGCGGAGGTGCTGGAATGAACGAGTGAACGATGAATGAACGAACGAATGAAGAAAAGATATACACAGCTTAAAAATAAAGATAATAAAACAGGTCCAATCAGTCAGTGGATCCGTCAGTCATTTGTTTCTACAGTCAATTATTTCTGAAGTAATTTTTTTTGTAGTCATTTTTTTCTACGTTCAAATGTTTCTCAAGTCATTTGTTTCTACAGTCAATTGTTTCTACAGTCAGTTGTTTCTACAGTCAGTTATTTCTACAGTCAGTTGTTTCTACCGTCATTTGTTTCTACAGTAAATTGTTTCTACAGTCCGTTGTTTCTACAGTTGTCTCTACAGTCAGTTGTTTCGTCAGTTGATTTATCAATCAATTGCTACACCAGTCAGTCAGTTGGCCCCAACTCGGGGCACATGTTAGCCACAGTGGCTCGGTCAGCGATACTCAGGGCTGACACTCCGGGCCCGAAGAATTCCACGAACTTGCCCACCACGCCGAGAGAGCGGAGGTGCTGGAATGAACGAGTGAACGATGAATGAGCGAACGAATGACGATAAAATATACACAGCTTAAAAATAAAGATAAAAAAACAGGTCCCCTGAAGCTATTTCATAAGTCACAGTCAGTGGATCCGTCAGGCATTTTTTTCTACAGTCAATCATTTCTTAAGTTATTTGTTTCTACAGTCAGTTGTTTCTACCGTCATTTGTTTCTACAGTCAGTTGTTTCCACAGTCAATTGTTTCTAAGGACATAATTTTCTACAGTCAATTGTTTCTACAGTCAGTTGTTTTTACAGTCATCTGCTTCTACAGTCAGTTGTTTCGTCAGTTGATTTATCAATCAATTGCTACACCAGTCAGTCAGTCCCCAAACTCGGGGCACATGTTAGCCACAGTGGCTCGGTCAGCGATACTCAGGACTGACACTCCGGGCCCGAAGAATTCCACGAACTTGCCCACCACGCCGAGAGAGCGGAGGTGCTGGAATGAACGAGTGAACGATGAATGAGCGAACAAATGTTGTATGAAATATACACAGCTTAAAAATAAAGATAATAAAGCAGGTCCAATCAGTCAGTCATTTGTTTCTACAGTCAATTATTTCTTAAGTCCTTTTTTTTCTAGACATTTTTTCTACATTTAAATGTTTCTAAAGTCATTTGTTTCTACAGTCAATTGTTTCTACAGTCAGTTGTTTCTACCGTCATTTGTTTCTACAGTCAGTTGTTTCTACAGTTGTCTCTACAGTCAGTTCTCCCTGAATTTGGCACACAAATGTTAGCCACGGTGGCTCGGTCGGCTATGCTGAGTTCTGATACGAAGATGCTGGAATTAAGGATTAATTTTTCATTCGTGATACTTCAGTTTAACGCCCGTATTCACAAACATTACTATGAGGTCTCACAGTGCGCGTGGACGCACAGGGTGACACACGAACCAATCACAGAGCTCTATTCAACGTTGTGCGTTCGATTTGCTGCTTCACTTAAGCAAGCATCGTTTGTGACTAACAAACGCCCGTAGCGTTAGTCCCTAAGTTAGTAAAGCAACCCAGTAGCCGAGTCGTGAGATATTTTATTATAAGTCAGTTCAACTAGTCAGTTGTTTCTATAGTCAGTAGTTTTTACAATCAGTTTCTACATTCAGTTGTTTCCATAGTTAGTTGATCTATCAGTTAGTGGTTACATAAGTCCGTCAGTCAGTTGGCCTCAAACTCGGGGCACATGTTAGCCACCGTGACTCGGTCGGCTATGCTGATATCTGTTACGTCGAAGATGCTGGATTTGATGAATAATTTTTCATTCAGTCTTTCTGTCAGGTAAATGGTTAAAAATTTTAGGTGCTACAACAAAGAAACTATTTGAAAAATAACTAGTGCGCGATGTATGATGGGGTAATATATCTATTTTATTGCGAGTTTTGCGATGTAGTCTGGTTATCCTAGATTTAAAATAATAATCATATTTTTTTACAAATAGACAAACTTCAAGAATATACAATGAGGGAAGATTGAGTAACTGCAGTTTAGGAAATAATTGCCTGCAACTAACCATTTGACTGACGCCGAAGATGGCTCTGATGCATTTTTTTTGAGCACGAAATATGGGTAATAAATTAACATTTGCCGTATTTCCTCAATGGATTATTCCGTAGCGTAAGTTAGAAGCCACATATCCATAGTAGGCAATAAGAGCAGCTTTCTTAGACACAGATCTTGCAATTTTTTTAAAAGGAAAAACAAATTTACTAATCTGTCAGTCGTTTTGCAGTCAGTGATACGAGTATCAGTTGATGCTACAATCAGTAGCAGCAAAAGTAATTTCAGTCATAGCAATATCGACGATAGCCGAATGGTGAAAGGTTTCAAACTGACCCACTTGAAATACAAGGAAATCAGGTTCGAACCCGCCACAGCTGGACCATTGTGGTAGACCCACTCGTAACACAAGCATATTTAATTGAGCTTAGTACGAGGGGTTATCTCGATTATTAGTGATTGGTATTTACAATATTGCTAATGTTCTTCAATGCACGTACCTTAGTGATGGTCAGCACCAGATCAGTAGAAGTAGCCAGCGGACTCAGTTCGCCCACGAGTTTGTATCCGACCACTTTGGGGAGTAACATGCTGATGGCCTGGCCAAGCATAACGGCTTCGGCTTCGATGCCTGGCGGGGACAAGTGGATTTTAACTGTTTGTTCTCAACCAGTAAGAGTAGGCGCACACCGTTGATTTTTCGTCGGCCGATAGTTTAGTCGGGCAGTTGATCAGTATGGGAGTGCGCACACTACGCCGATTCGATTTGGCCGATTCTTCGTACAATTTAAAATCGGGCACAACTATCGGCTAACTAAAAATCAACGGTGTGCGCCTACTCTTAATGTGTAAGCTGTTGGAAAGATAATTAAACAGGTGTTCTAACGAGTAACAATGTGAGTTAAGAATTTGGATATTCTTCCTGTTGTTTTTTTTACATTTGCACAGTAAAATCAGTTTAGGCGCTATTGGTCCAATTCGCTATTGGTCCAATTTTTTCTGCAATAGTATTAAAAGTTGAATAACCTCCTTATTTTTTTCATTTTGGATATCCTTTTATTTTGGACCAATTACGAATTGGACCAATAGCAAATTGGACCAATCGCGAATTGGACTAATCGCGAATTTGTAAATTTTTCACTTATTGTGAATTGGACCAATCGAGTAAAATCAATCCTTTTCAACCGACTTCAAAAAAGGAGGAGGTTCTCAATTCGACCCGTATGTTTTTTTTTCTATGTTTGTTACGCGATAACTCCGCCAATTATGAACCGATTTGAACAAATCTTTTTTCGGCGTATAGGTAATACCTCAAGGGTGGTCCCATTTAAATTTAATAATAGAAAAAACAACCCCCAAGGGTGGAAAATTGGTAATGAACTTTTTTATACGCAATATTTTTAATTTTTAGTTTTTTTTTGTGTTCACGCATTTGAAGTCGGTTTTATTTTTTTTTAAAGTTAATTATTGTATAATCATTTACCAAGGGGTCGCATTGTAAGGGCATCTTTTTATTTTTTCTCTGACTATGGTTTTATATTGATGGCAGTTTCATAAAGTACTTACCGCCCACTCCCCAGCCCACCACTCCAAGCCCGTTGATCATGGTGGTGTGACTGTCAGTACCGACCACCGAATCCGGGTGCAACACGTCACCAGTGAACACCACGCGAGCCAGGTATTCTAAGTTCACCTGTAAATTATAATAAAAAATCAAAACGAAGTTTTTTTTTTCATCCACAACAAAAAAAATCAAAAATATTTATTCAGTTTAGACCACAAGTGGCACTTATGAACGTCAAAATGTAAATAATAAAAAAAGAAAAGGTAGCCCTTATGGGGCACTTTACATGTCTCCTTATCTTTTGGGCCCTACCAGCGCTTCGAGACAAACATATGGCAAGTGCTGAGAAGAAACGCCGGAACAAACTCAGTCACCACTTATTGCCGGGAATTATCTAACGGTAAGAATAGTCAAATTTAAGTACATCAAATATGTGCAGACTGAACTGACCACGCATCCTTGTCGTCAATATAGTCTCGAACCTTGTAGTACACAACGAGGAAGCTCTTGGCCTGTATCTCACCTGATGGTAAGTGATGATCAGGCCGAAGGTGGAAGCGAGCTTCACTCGGAATCCTCAATTCATTCGGAATTTACTATCAATCTATCAATACTGTATTATTATTTCAGATTTTTGCCACTTGACGTTTCAGAATCATTTAACTATATCAAAAATAAAAATTCACTGTATTCTTCGTAATTATATTGCTGTCGCGACTGTGCGACGGGCGCCCGCAGTGAGTGTGCGAGCGCGACAGCAACATAATTACGCGCGAGCGATAAGGATGGGTAGCTTGGGGTTATTGGACAAAATTCTACGTGCTCGCAGACCAGACTATAGTAAACGTTACCTGATGGACGATACCAGATCCTGGAGGCACTATCAACATGTTATCGAAGGCTTGGGCACCCCACTGAAAACAGTAACATTATTTTATTAATATTTTTGCGTTTTTCGAAGAATCTGCATTACAAAATTATTAAAATATTGCTTAAAATTACCTTCAAAAACTGGAACCTTTCCTTGTTTCTCTCAAACTCTAGCTCTTGATTTTTGTTCAAAGCGTCAGGTCTGAAATTAATAAAGTTTTGACAGTACAGAATCATTGAATTCTTGCACTTCCAAACATACAAATACAACACTAACGATTATTGTTACGATTTTTTTACAAATACGTAGACTTTTAAAAATCATTTTTACACGTCCAAGTATTAACCCTACCACTGCTTCGGGACAATAAATGGACCAGTGCTGAGAGGAAGCAGCGCAAGAAACTGACACTATTCTGAGAATTCAGAAAAGTAATGGGTCAAAAAATCTAATCGCACTCTAGGCACCACAAAAGAAAGACCAAAATGTAGTTCATGGTTAGCCCAACATATTATTTAATGAGGATCATTTCGATTTTTAGCTGTGAATGCAGATTTATAGGGCTAAGAAATCCTTAATACACAGTGAAAAAATTTTTGTTCTACGACAAAAATTGACGAAGTTATGGCCAAATTACTAAAAAAGTTCACTGACCGCCCGGCGCGGGGACGATGACGTCATTATATCCGATCCGAACGCTGCCGGCGTACTGCGTGGATAGAAAATATTTTTTTCTAGCCAAATTATCAGTTTTAGAGAAAAACTTGTAATGACATTTATTCATCAGAATAAAGTAAGCTATCGATAGGTAATTTTTAAAAATGGAAATTGTGAAAAATAACGCAAAAAATCCATACGCTCATACGATTCAATGGAACGCAGAGACGCGATTGGGGTCTCCGCGGTGGTATATTTGGCGATTTATTCAAATAAAGTGTACATAAGTGTTGTTAGAGTCATATCTTCTTCCAAGTAAAATATAAAAATGTATAAGTATTAATTTATTTACTTCTAACAATAAGTATAGCTGAGGCAGATACACTCTGCCTAGGCTACAAGACATTGCTATGAAGATCATTTCGATGTACACGCAATACCTATGATGATGTCGGTTATGTTCCCCCCAAGGCCAGAAGCTGGGTAAGGCTTGCCCCTCCCCCCAGGCTATAAGCTGGGTATGACTTATCCCCCCCCCCAGGCCAGAAACTGGGTATTAGCATCATATTAAGTATAATTATGTTCAATACAAACAATCATTAAGTTACACTCACCCCAACCGCGTCTCCGCATTGCATCGAATCCTATGAAAATGTGGTTTTTGGACATAGCAATACTTATTTTTCACAATTTTTATTTTTAAAAATTACTGGTCGATAGGTTACTTTATTTTGAAGAATAAATGTTATTAAAAGTTTTTTTCTAAAACTGATAGTTTAGCCGGAAAAAAATATTTTCCATCCTATTAGTACGCCGGCTGCGCTCGATTCGGATATAATGACGTCACGCGGCCTTGCGTACGTTGACTTTTAGCGGCAAAAACGGGCTATGTTTATTACTTAATATCTTCGTAAGTAATGGTCCGATTTGGATAATTCAAAAAGATATATCTTTCTTATGTCTTAAAGATTAACGTAGATACTAGTTTTATTGAATTTTCTACAACAGTACTGATCCTCATTGTGGAAACTTGATTAGTATGTGAGTTATTTTACTGCACCTAATTTAAATTACGTTGTAACTGTGTTTCCCAAATATTAAATAAATGAATGGTCCTTCGAGCCGGATAATGAAAGAAAATTAATAAATGTGAAAACCTAACTATAAATATCAGTAGACTGACGACTTACGATCTTACGAAGTCGACTTGCACCGAGTGGTCAATCACCAGGTCAGCTGGGCAGATGGGATTGATCTTCTGAGGGTCACCGCCTAGTTGCTTGACGGCGTCACGCATGGCTGCGAAGTCTACCACCGCTGGGACGCCTGTGAGGTCCTGGGGAAGAATAATATCCATCAATCAATAATAATCCAGCTTGCACTAAGCGTTTCGACGATTCTTTTATAATGCGAACAGTTAGGGACTGGAATTCGTTGCCCGCTGCCGTCTTTCTGAACACTATAATCTGGGCCTTTTCAAGGCGAGAGTGAATAGGCACTAACAGTAGTAGGGAATTTAGTGCAAGAACCCCTCCACTTTGGTATAGAAGGCTCATTTTTGCAACAGTGGTTCTTTGGGTGCTCCTGAGTGGATTTCCGTCGGTAGACATCGGGAGCCCCCCCTGTGGTAGCAGGGGGAGGGGGGGCAAGTTTCCTTCCACCGCGCTTCACTTTAAGGCCCATATCTTCAAAACTATGGGTATTAGGGCAAGTGTGGTATCATTTTCGGATAATTAAAGGATGGCGAATTCATTTCCAGAACAAATTTTTTGCCTTTTCATACAAAAAACTAGAAATATTGAGTAAAATTCACAAAAATCAAAAAGTATTTTTTTAAATTAACGTCGTTTACTTTTAAACCACTGGAGATAATCTAATTAAAAAAATATGACCTGAAAGCTACATTTATCAGGATTATAAAAATATAACATTGTATGGTACTTTTTTCGCAAAAAGTAGGTGAAAAAAATTTTTTCTTCAGGACACAGCGGGCGAATTTTATAGCGCATCGGAAAAAAATATTTATTTTATACATGAATTCATACTATTTGGTTCATAAGCAAGCAAGGATTATTATTTTAGAATTTATTTAGAGTTGCTGGCACATCAATCTACCATAATTTGTATTTTTTCGTCAATTGATTTTGAGCTCTATGTGTGAGACATAAGGTTGAAAATAGCTTAAATACTTTTTAATATTGAAAATATCATAAGAAGAAAGCACTAAATAAAGAACTTTAATTTGTCTAAACGTTTTATTGATTATTATTATTTTAATCAACACTTTTATTTCTACATACTGTGATTTAACGGAAAGGTAAGTGTGAGGAAAATGAGGTTTCACAATCATAGTACGGGAGATATTTTTAGCACAAAGGTTACGGCTGTGACATTTTTAGTTGTTTTTTTCAGACAGCACCAGCTTCTGCATTACTTCTTGCACTTACATCTCACCATTTCCAGGCAAGCCTCGGCAGCTACGGGCAAACCGGTCCATGTAGGCTCCATCTTGCTATCGGCTCTGGTCCACCTCCAACCAGTCGGGTAAAGGGAAGACTGAGTCGGTTGCTTGCAACTAATCCTATACGCGAACCCCTTGGATTGATCTAATAAGTAAGTGGATCGCCCCGGGTGCCAAGCATTAGAGGGTGACACATGTCGCACAGATTAGCACTCACTGGCGCATCTGCATAGCAAGTCTGCGATCTATGTCATTGTCTTTCAATCTTGGAATCGGTAGGTAACCCCAAAATCGTGGGGGTTACCAGGGTGTGCCGTAGGACTTACGCCGCCACTGCAAAGATGGCATTGGGAACGGGAGTCTACTGTAAACACTTCGAACATGGTAAACGCTTAAGGAGGTGTGCTACAGTGTTTCAAGCTGAATTCTACGCTATAATATGTGTGCACTAAAGAACAGGGGTGTAAAAAACGCAATATTTACATCCTGATCCACAGCCAGGCAGCACTCAAACAAAAAGCCATCGCCTCAGTGAAGGTTGAGTCTAGAATTATTCTAGATGCAATCGTAAAGATGAACAAACTCGGAAGGCATGAAAGTGTCCCTGATGTGGGATACCTGGACATAGGTACACGGATCAAATGCAATGGAAGAGCCGACAGTCTAGCGAAACTAGGGACAGAGGCGATACCTATTGGGTCAGAACTGATACTTACCTTTATCTAACGGCATACCTCATGGCCATAATATGGCCATATCCAAGAAGCACAGTGCTGAATGGGAAAGCTCCAACGATATAAGATAAGCATCTCCAAATCATTCCTAAAGGGAAACACAGGGTCATGGAGAAAACTCATTCAGCGGAAATAAAAGGTACCTAAGCCCAAGCAATTACTGGTACGCAAACTGGGCATTATGGAACGAACCACAAGTCCCACAAAATGGGCCTGACAACAGAAGTCACAGCCGTTACCTTTGTGCTAAAAATATCTCCCGTACTATGATTGTGAAACCTCATTTTCCTCACACTTACCTTTCCGTTAAATCACAGTATGTAGAAATAAAAGTGTTAATTAAAATAATAATAATCAATAAAACGTTTAGACAAATTATAGTTCTTTATTTAGTGCTTTCTTCTTATGATATTTTCAATATTAAAAAGTATTTAAGCTATTTTCAACCTCATGTCTCACACATAGAGTTCAAAATCAATTGACGAAAAAATACAAATTATGGTAAATTTATGTGCTAGCAATTCTAAATAAATTCTAAAATAATAATCCTTGCTTGCTTATGAACCAAATAGTATGAATTCATGAATAAAATAAATATTTTTTTCCGATGCGCTATAAAATTCGCCCGCTGTGTCCTGAAGAAAAATTTTTTTTCACCTACTTTTTGCGAAAAAAGTACCATACAATGTTATATTTTTATAATCCTGATAAATATAGCTTTCAGGTCATATTTTTTTTATTAGATTATCTTCAGTGGTTTAAAAGTAAACGACGTTTATTTAAAAAAATACTTTTTGGTTTTTGTGAATTTTACTCCATATTTCTAATTTTTTGCGTGAAAAGGCAAAAAATTTGTTCTGGAAATGAATTCGCCATCCTTTAATTATCCGAAAATGATACCAGACTTGCCCTAATACCCTAAGTTTTGAAGATATGGGCCTTAAAGTGAAGCGCGGCGGAAGGAAACTTGCCCCCCCTCCCCCTGCTACCACAGGGGGGGCTCCCGATGTCTACCGACGGAAATCTACTCAGGAGCACCCAAAGAACCACTGTTGCAAAAATGAGCCTTCTATACCAAAGTGGAGGGGTCTCCATACAAATCATTGCACTAAATTCCCTACTACAGGGCAGATATGTACAATCCTAGGACTGCATCTTACTTAACACCAGGTGCGATTGCGATCAAATACCTGCCTTGTCCTGCATAAAAAAAAAATAGGTGCGGTTTTGTTCCCCAGTCGATGAAGCACATGATGTCGTGCCCTGAGTGCCCAAGCAACTGCACGCAGGAAGATTTAATGAAGGCTACTGACAACACCACTCTTGTGGCGGAGTTTTGGGCTGACACTGTTTATGTTTGTTGTCGATACGACAAGAAGTAGATATCCATCTTCATCACCCTCATCATCATCAGATCACTTAGTCTCTCTGCAGGAGGATGGTATCTTTTTGATGCAGAACAAGGCAGGTATTTGACCGCAATCGCACCTGGTGTTAACTGAGATGCAGTCTAGGATGGTACATTATTTGCCCTGTAAAGTGATAGTCATCATCAGCAGCATAATCATCATCATCGTCAGCAGCAGGTCATTTACTAGTAGTACACAGCAAAAGGACAATATCTGTCGTTCGTTCGTTTCAGTCAAATGATATCCACTGCTGGACAAAGGCCTCCCCCAAGGATTTTCATAACAATCGATCCTGCGCCCGCGACCTTCATCAGATCGTCGGTACACCTAGTGGAGGGCGTGCCCACACAACGTCTTCCAGGCCGTACTTAGTTGCCATACGAGAACTTTTCATCAATTTTTCTATTATTGAAAGGTATTCAAAAATACAGTCAGCGTCAAATAATCACATCCAAAGTAACCAAACAGTTCGCAACACGAACTTTGTTACAATTAGAATAATATTGTGTTGTCAACTTCTTGGCCACTTTGGGTGTCACGGACTATTTGACGCTGACTGTACCAAATAAAAAATTGGTCATAGCCTCGTAATATCCATTCTTGGGACAATATTTTTACACGTTTTCACACCAGCCTTGGGAAATACAAACGTGTTTTAAGAAAAACAATCAAATTGTATGGTAATTCATTATGAAACGTAACATGTAAGTCTGGCGGATACGTTGTGTTAATACGTTTAAATTCATACAAAAATCATAATATATATTATAAAAAGCAAAGATTGTTATTTTTGTGGTTTATCCGTAAACGAACTAAAAGTCGCTGACATAGCCCGACGGATTAGCAAGCTGAAGTGGCAATGGGCAGGGCACATAGTACGCAGAACTGACGGCCGATGGGGCAGCAAGGTTCTGGAGGCCATGTACTGGAAAACGTAAGACGTCCACCCAACCACAAAGTGGACCGATGACCACATAAATAATTAGAAAAGGGACCATTTACACGATGAACATGAAATTAAGTCTTTTTTATGTATTACAAAAACAATACATCATCATTTCAGCCATAGGAAGGCCTCTGCTGAACATAGGCCTCCTCTAATAATTTCCACAATGGCCGGTTGGGGGCGGCCTGCATCCAGCGCCTTCCTGCTACCTTTATGAGGTCGTCGGTCCACCTTGTGGGTGGACGTCCTACGTTACGCTTTCCAGAACTTTGCTGCCCCATCGGCCGTCAGTTCTGCGTGCTATGTGCCCCGCCCGTTGCCACTTCAACTTGCTAATCCATCGGGCTATGTCAGCGACTTTAGTTCATTAACGGTTTACAAAAAACAATTACAAAAACATTTGTAAGTATGGAATAGACACACCCACTGAACTAAACGGAAAGTGATGTCGTCACTACATAGACTGCAAGGTCATGTATGAATAATTAATTAGTTTTTTAATAAGTATACTTTTTCTATTGTTTTCTTTGTATAGTGATACGAAAAATTGGATATTCAATCGAGGTGATTAATGTAGGCACTGTTTCTGAGCTGTCAAAACAGAAATTCTCTATAAATTGTACTAAAATACCCACTTTTGACATCAACGGGACTATTCCCACCTCTCTTTCCCACCGCTACAACTCTTGTGTAGCCAGGATCTACAGCTTGATCGCCAATAACCCAACCAGTAAAAATCATTGGGGGAGGCCTATGTTCAGCAGTGGACGTCCTATGGCTGAAATGATGATGATGAATTACCAGTACGAGACCTCCATTCCTAAACCCTTCTTGGTCCTTCAAGCCGGATAATGACTCATAAAAAATCATAAAACTCATTTTATTTTTGCATGTAGGCTTTAAAAAGCACTCACACGTCCCAGTATTAACCCTACCACTGCTTCGGGACAATAAATGGGCCAGTGCTGAGAAGAAGCAGCGCAAGAAACTCAGTCACAATTGTCAGCCTCTTTTTCAAGGGTTTGACTTACTTTGACTTATGGTCCTATGTCCCCTAGATGGGGCAGAGGGCGTCCACAACAGTCCACAAGGGTTTACAGTCTTTAAAATATACTTACAATTGCAGTGGGCGGGGCGCATAGCTCGTAGAGCTGATGTCCGCTGGGGCAGAAAAGTTCACGAGTAGCGACCACGAGTCGGAAGATGTAGTGTGGGCAGGCCTCCCACTAGGTGAACCGACGATCTGGTGAAGGTCACGGGAGGTGCCTGGATGCAAGCGGCGTAGGACCGGTCTTTGTGGAAAACCTTGGGGGAGGCCTTTGTCCAGCTGTGGACGTCTTTCGGCTGTAACGAACGAACGAGCGAAAATATATAGCTTTACTCACCTGTAGAATGACTCTGGCAGGCTTGAAGGCGATTTCCACTCCCCCCTCCACGGCTTGATTCTGCTCCCATTCCAGAACGTTCTGCACATCCTTCTGGAGAACTTGGAAGTTGTCGCAGTTCCTCACACAGGATTCTAGCAGGACTCGGACGCTGAATGGCAGCCGTTCTGGAAAAAGAAAAATAAGAGTAAGGCATTTGTGCCACCGCCAACGAAAAAGGAAATAACTGTCGGTTATTTTTATCAATAACGCTATTAAAATATCTGCTATAGGACCCCCGATGCAAAAAGAAGGGTGTATGTCTCTACCTGTGGCACCGTAACTCTTAAACCAGTGAATCGATTTGGATGCGGTATTTTTTATATTTTAAGTTACCTCTGTAAGTATTGCAAGAATGCAAAGTAACACCGTGTATTCAATAGCAAGTTTGCTACATTGAGTTATAATATTACTTCAATTGTTTAGTAGCGATTTTTGTTAGATATATTTCATAAAAAAGTTCTAGCTATTTTCTTTAGACATGTTTAAAAAAATCGGTTCAGCCTTTTCAATATCATCAACTCTTATTTTAGCTGCCGTAGGAATCTAAGACACAAAATTAGTATTTTGGAAGCAGATTTCTAGTGGTGTTTCTTTAAATCCACATGGTGGTGGTGTCATAAAAGATTTCAAGATCTTTCAAGAGAAGGTTTCAAGATCATCCGCCCTTTTGTTGCGGTAGATTTTTTATGTTATGAATTTTGCCACTGTCTGCTGTAGAACTTGGCTGGACACTTGGCTGTCTAGATGTTGTGTAGAGTCGACAGTTAGTCGCTTTTTTAAGTCAATTAAAAATGTAAAATGAATTCACTTTATCTACTGTATAATATTTGTCATATAATGAAATGAGAACAGACGCGTTGGTGTTTCCTTATCTCTGACGAGTCGAGTTTATTGCTTCAAATCAAAGATAACATCAAGATCATGTGATGATACCTATACTATTAAATACATCATCATCATTATCATTTAGAATCCCCGCAAACTACAGACTTACCGGCTTCTAATTTGTATGAGAAATCGGCCAATTGGCCATCAGTCGCTGGCCGAGGCCGAAGGTGGAAGCGAGCTTTACCCGGAATCCTCAACCACGGAGGAACTGGCTATCTTACCTCTAACTGCCGGAGCACAACAATGCTGTTAACATTGTTGTTATGGCGACAGACTTAGGTAAGATGGTGGTAGCTAGCCAGGCGGACTTAGAACAAGCCCTACCACCAACCAAACCGAACAGAAAAATCTGCCCCCACTTGGAATCGAACCCGGGACCTCTGCGTCTGAAGCAGGTGGTCTTACCACTAGACCACAGAGGCGGTCAAAACATCATTTGCTTGAGGCAATTCTTACAAGCTACACACGGCGTCAAATAAATCGCACCTCCCGCGACAAGTACTTTCAAACGTATGCATCCCCATTTCCCACCAATATTGGCACCATTTAAAAGCCTAGTTCTAAACTTCATTTCATTAAAGGAAAGGTTTTTACCCCAAAAATGTGTAATTAGAAGGATCTAGTGATAGTATAATATAAGATTTTAAACTTTCGCGTTCCATTACAGTCTGCTTGTGACCACGGCTGCAGCATCGCAGCCGAAACGTCAAGCCGTGAGTACATAATGTAACTCATTAATAAACGTCGCGTTAAGACCCGTGTCTTACTAATCTAGTGATAGTAACGTTACCAGTGATGGTGCCCATCTATCTTCGTTCGTTCGTTCGTTCGTTTCAGCCAAATGACGTCCACTGCTGGACAAAGGCCTCCCCCAAGGTTTTCCACAATGAACGGTCCTGCGCTGCCCGCATCCAGGCTCTTCCCGCGACCTTTACCAGATCGTCGGTCCACGCTACGTCTTCCAGCCCGTGGTCGCCACTCGAGAACTTTCCTGCCCCAACGGCCATCGTCTCTACGAGCTATGTGCCCCGCCCACTGCCACTTGATTTTAGCAATTCTGCGAGCTATCTATATAGGCTTAATTTGTTTTTTCTTAAAGCGATATGCAGTTAGCGATGGCTGTGCGGAGCGATCCGCACTGACAGTCCGCGTGACACTAAAACCAGCCTTACGCTTAAGTGGTGCGGCACCATGATTGTGTTAGAAGAAAATCTTTAAAGTTACTGTCGCGGGAGGTGCGATTTCTTTGACGCCGAGTGTATTTTATACAGCGCATTCCAATGACTAGAGTCATAAATGAATGACAATTGATATTAAATTAAGAGGTTCCTTGGTGCGTGTCGCAGTTCAAATCTATTTATACTACTACTAGCTGTGCCCGCGACTTCGTACGCGTGGATCCCGTTTTACCACCTTAGGGGTGGAGTTTCGTAAAATCCTTTCTTAGGGGATGCTTACGTAATAACATCTACCTGCATGCCTTTCAGCCCGATCCGTAGAGTGCACTGGACGGATAGGACGTTGATAGATCACTATGTCAGTCAGTCAGTCACCTTTGAGTTATATTTTAGAGATATTTTATAGTTTGTCAGTTTGTAAGGATGGATGGATGTTTATTACGAGGTCGTGGGTTCGAGTCCCGCCTTAGGCAGTTCGATTTTTTCAAGTTGTTTATTTAAAATTTAGGTACTTACCATATTTGGTCCCGAAGGACGATAGGTCGAAGTATTTAAAGGTTTTCCCGTTGATGTCGATGGTCTTCAACAGGTTCCCGTAAGGGTTGTTGGCGGCTGGAACAACATACATTTATTTATTAATACATACATTACTTGTAATAATATAAATTACTTAAGCTTCAGCCAAACCAACGCGTGCAGATCGCGTCGGCGATGGCGATCACTGCGCGTGCTTAAGCCAATGACAGCCTGTCATTGACAGGACGTGCGATGCGACCAATGACAGGACCCGCGTCCTGTCATTGATTCGCTTTGGTTTGGCTGAAGCTTAAGTAAGTGAGCGGGAAAGTGAGTCAGGAAATACTTTGCTTATTCTCAGACCGCGGGGACAGTCAGGACTCAGGAGTTAGGCTAGGGTGTTTTTAAATTTAATATCGTGTGGATTCCTTGGATCCTTCATCACGGTCTACGGATATGGTCTACTATTCAACGCTATACGCGACGTACGAAACGTCCAGCGTCAAATGTTCCTATCGACGTCCATACGCCGACGTCACTATCTGAAGGAGACACAACAGTACATTTCTATAGTAAGCATTGTGGCACGGCCTACGGCGTTTATAGGACGATCATTAATATCATTATAGATCGCGTCATCCACTCGTACGCGCCCCAGCAATGTTTGGTCTCGGTCGCACGGGGTGCGGGGAGTTTGATCCGAGCAATCCGAGCGGCATTATTGTAGTGTGTGTGTGCACTCATAGATGATTTAGCGTGTACCGATAACACTCAAACATTAGCGGAAGAATGGAGGCGCGCGTCTTCGTGGATGAAACGATTGATCATAATCAAAATCACAGAAAATATATTCAATAAATAGAGCCCGAGGAAAGCATATAATCACTTGGATGACTATATTAAATAGATAGCAACAGGTATTGATAAACTATAGGTTATCTTTCACGATAGTGTAGCATTGAAATCTTATTCTGAGCTATCTACCTCGAAAAATACTTCTCAATATGTTATTTAAAGGTAAATAGGTATACAGAGATGCAGTGGGGTGACACGAGCTTATCTCGAGAAAACCTAAGTGGTCGCTTGACCGTTCGTTCGTTCGTTTCAGACAAATGACGTCCACTGCTGGACAAAGGCCTCCCCAAGAATCTCCACAACGACCGGTCCAGAACTTTTCTGTGTCAACGGCCATCTCTACGAGCTATGTGCCCCGCCCACTGCCACTTGATTTTAGCAATCCAAGGCTATATCGGACACTTTGGTTCTCCTGCAGATCTCCTCATTTCTGATGCGATCATTCGGAAAACTCCGAGCATAGCCCGCTCCACCTTTAGGTGACCTTGAGCCGTCTTATGAGGCCCATAGTAAGCGACCGTTTCAGATCCATATACCATCACTGGCAACACACTGTTCAAAGACTTTCGTCTCGAGACACTGCGGTATCGCGGGACCGCGCGGTATAGATCGTTTCATCTACGAAGACGCGCCCCACCATTCTTCCGCTAATGTTTGAGTGTTATCGGTACACGCTAAATCATCCATGAGTGCACACGCACACTACAATAATGACGCTCGGATTGCTCGGATTAAACTCCCCGCACTCCGCGCTTCCCTCGACCAAAAATTGGTGGGGCGCGTCTTCGTGGATGAAACGATCTATAACAAATTGATATCCATGGTGTCTCGCTTAGCTGGTAGGTTCTTGAAGGATTACAGAGAGCAGGAAGGTAGATCAGTGGCCTCAAATGAGCTATCGTATTTGCCACCAGTTGGCGCCACTGTGGAGTAAGGTCCTGTCACTCACTAGTGGCGTAGTGGTTAAGACAGTGCCGCCAACTGGTAAACACTGAAGAGGTACGAGGACTATCGTATTTTCACGAACCAGAATGGCGCCACTGAGGTCTGACGCTGACGTCACTGATGACACTGTCATTGATGACAGGACCTTATGCTATAGTGGCACCAAGACGCTGGTCTGTAAATCGTTCTATTCCACTATAAAAAGCCACAATAGCCGAACGGTGAAGGGGTCGGACTGGCCGACTCGTGATCCGAGGAACGCGGGTTCGGTCCCCGCCGCCGCTCGACTATTGCGGTGAGCCCACTCGTGACACAAGCATAATTTAGCTTAGTATGAGGGACAAACGGGACTATTAGTAATTTAATTTGACTAATAATCTAACTTTGATCAACTGAATTAGTGATCACCCAGGGTGATCATTTCATAGGCGACACTTTGGTATCCTTTGATCACCCAGGTGATCATAGGCGACACTTTGGTATCCTTTGATCACCCAGGTGATCATAGGTGACACTTTAATGTCCTTTGATCACCCATTGATAAGGTCACCTAGATGATCATAATGGATTCCAGTTGAATCATTATTTTAGTATCCTATGATCACCTATAAATAAATCACACCCAAAAATTATAGAACATTATTATTATTAGTCCTCAATTAGTACTCATTAATCCTAAACCCTTTCTACTTAGATTAATAAAGCCCTTTCTATCAAATCACTCTGAATAGACATTTATTAATCCATGAAATTAGTGTTGTACACATCTCGTTTCAGCCAAATGACGTCCACTGCTGGACACATATTTTATTTTAATATACAGTACAGACCTACCTACATACTAAGTACATGTTAAGTTTTGTGTTAAAATAATGCATCAAAGGCAAAAATACAAAACACTGGCTGGCTGATAAACTTTTGAGCTCTATTCTAAAAAAATAAATTTATTCATCAGTCATTGCCTAGTAGATAGGTACTTTACAGTGTCAATAGTTCAAAGCAGTAAACAGAGAATATTCAACAAGACCAAAGGTTAAACGGTACGACGAGAAACATAAAATAGGTAAACATTTTAAAGGTAATGGTTAGGCCATGTGTACTTAATTTATTAGAATATTATCGCTAGATTAGTAGTGTTGGATACTGTTAAATTGTGGTTGACAATGTAACAGTTAGTAAGAATCTAATTAGAAATTGATTGCGTACATAAAAATACCTGTTTTTGAATTTAGAATGTAAATACATACCCATGGTCACTGGAAATGCTGAAAAGTCACGTAGACACTAGCCGAAGCCGAAAAAGTTGAGTATTAGTGCTGGGTGATACGATTTCTCAAACACAATCGAGTAATCAAGGAAAATTAAATTAAAACAAATGACAGCCGACTGCGACACTACCGAACGCTGTCAGTCAGTGACAGTGAGTGAGGGAATGAACGAGCACGTATTTATTACCTAGCACGAGAATGAATGAGGTTGACCTCTGTTGACCTTTTTTTGATTCAATGATTAATGTATGAATGAACGAAAATAGTAAAACGTAAAATCTGTGTTGCCTGACACAAAATTCAATTGCATGCTTTTAATTTTTTTTTAATATAAATTTTGTTTCGATTTGGTATTTCATCTTTCTTCTTTAAAGGTTAACATGAGGTTAACTGAATTTACGGTAGACTGAATTTATCTTAAAAGCTTAATAAACCTTTATGCGTGCGTTGAAATATTTACCAAATGGATTTGCATTTCGATAAACCGTTGATAATGATGAGCCATTTTCGGGAAAATATGAGTAATGATCACGAATGATCATAAAAATGATCTTCGAGCTAAGGTGAGCTAGCTCACGCCTAAAGCACCATTGATCCAAGTTTACGAACGGATTTAAAAAAAACTTCAAAAACGTCATGTCAGTTGTCAAAAAAATATAAAAAAGATCCGTTGATCGAGCGTTTGTTTCCATGTAATTTTGTTTGTGTACATATTTATTTAATCAATAGTAATTAATAACTTATAATTATGGCTACTTTCGACTTTAATTCCATTACGAAAGCTTTAAACGATCCTAATAGGACGACCAGTGGTGTTGATTTTTCGGGGAAATCTTTGAAACTGGACTCTGAACAAGATGGTAAGTTTCTCGCGCCTACAGCTCTATGCTTACATTAAATTGTGTCTCTCGGCCTTTATAATGAATTATTAAGGTCGATTTATCAAAAGCGCTAACAATAATGGGGTTTTTCGAGTGTTTTGTAAACATAACCTATCCATATTTAAATGTGCGCCTTTTTTCATCACGACGCTATTATTGTATTAAAACGACCTGTCCCGGCTTTCTTCGGGTGTAATTACATTACACAAACCTACATTGGAGTCATATGTAAAGCCTATATTAAGGTCTCTTCAGTATTTTCTGAGATTTACCACAAAATATATTTCAATGAAAATGAAAAAAATCTTTATTTATTATCTATCATTAGGTTAAAGGTCTTTAAGCGAATACTATTACAAAGTGGATGATTAAGAAGATTATAAAGTATGGAATATATTATCTTACTAGCTTTTTTACTACTAGTACAATTATTTTTGAATAAATATTTAGGTTTACTTTTGTTTTATTTATTTTTTTGTAAATAATATACTCAATGTTATCTCCTAAAAATATTTAATACAATAATTACTTTAAAAATAAATATTTGTCTAGTTCTTTTTTAATGATGGCGCGAAGACATTTAGTTATAATTACTAATCTTTATGATTTACTAGCTTTTGCCTGCGGCTTCACCCGCATGAAATTTAGTTTGTCACATATCGTCATAAATTATAGCCTATATGTATGTTATTCTGGGTTATAAACAATAATACTGTAAAATTTCATCAAAATCCGTTCAGTACTTTTTGTGTGAAAGACTAACAAACATCCAAACTTTCGCATTTATAATATTAGTAGGATTACTTACTTATTAATCTTTTCTCAATCCCCAGCGCAACCAATCGTAGAAGCGATCAACAAATGCCCGGACCTCCAGTATCTGACCCTAACCGGCAACACGCTGGGCGTGACGGCAGCGCAGGCCATTGCCAAAGCGTTGGAGCACCATCCCGAGCTGAAAGTTGCTAAGTTCTCCGATATGTTCACTGGGAGGATGAAGACGGAGATACCTCCGGCGCTGGTGAGTTTTATACTAGTCTGGTCTGCGAGCACATAGAATTTTGTCCAATGACCCCAAGCTACCCATCCTTATCGCTCACGCGTAATTATGTTGCTGTCGCGCTCGCACACTCTTTCCACAGTCGCGACAGCAATATAATTACGCGCGAGCGATATGGATGGGTAGCTTGGGGTCATTGGACATTATTCTACGTGCTCACAGACCGGGCTTTAGATGTGTACAGAGCTTCAAAGAGTTTGTGACACCCAATGTGGCCAAAAAGTTGACAACACAACCTTAATTCAATTGTCAAAAGACGTGTTGCATAAATATTGGTTACTTTGGGTGTCACGAACTATTTGTCACTGTTGTATGTGAAAATAGTGATGAAGTGTGAACGCAACTCGTTTTGTGTTGTCTATGCACATCTCTACTCTCTCCGGTCTATGGTCACGGTGTGCGCGTTTCTATTGTTTTATTTGTTTGATAAAATAAAACCAAGTTTATTTCCAATCTAAAGATTTATTATTTCATCAAATAGTTTGAATATCTTTTCTCGTTTTCGTAGCATTTTTCATTGATGCCCTGCTTCTCTTAGGCCGCTGCCTCGAACTTTGCAGGCAGTGGCGCGGAAGCGGCAAGAGTTTTTGCGTAAAATCCATTGGCTAATCTAGGATTATTTATCAGGCAATTAGTATCATACCTCAGAAGAGAGTTCTATAGGTATACATTTTTGAATTGGTAGCCCACCATCCTGGGGGGCACCAGATCATTCTGAGGGATAGATATATGTGCATGATATAAGACCGGCCCTCGAAAACAGCGGCGCGATAATCAAGATGTTGTCTCCATTGTTCAGAAATTTCGCTCGCAAACATCAACAATCTAAATTTTGCAGGACTTGACTTATGGTCCTATGTCCCCTAGATGGGGCAGAGGCCGTCCACAACAGTCCTCCATCGCATTCGGTCTTGAGCTTCGCGTTTGACCTCGCTCCAAGTCTTGCCGATCTTCTTCGCCTCGTCTGCCACAGTGCGCCGCCAAGTTTGCTTGGGACGACCACGTTTGCGTTTTCCTTGGGGGTTCCAATCCAGAGCCTGCTTCGGGATGTGATCGGGGTCCCTTCGGAGAGTGTGGCCAATCCAGTTCCACTTGCAGGGCTTGATTTTCCAGGGCCAGCCTATAAAATTATTTTTGATGTGCCCAATCTTTTTCAAAACTAATAAAGACATCCCTCCACAGAAAGCGCTAGGCGACGGCATGATAACGGCCGGCGCTCGCTTGCAGTCGCTAGACCTCAGCGACAACGCGTTCGGGCCTATTGGAGTGGAGGGACTCGCTAAGTTGCTGGAGAGCGAGGTCTGCAGCCAACTTCAGGTAAGCGACAGAGGATAGTGTTAAGGGGTATTATGATAGGACAGTGATTCGACTGCGAAGACGATTTTGGTAGCCCGCGAGAGTTAAATAAACTGAACTTATCTTAACTAATTATAGAAAAACGGTATCTGGATCCTACTCCCCAATATCTAGACTCTGTAAATTGTATAATGAGTACAGCACTGAACTAGACTTATTTGGCATGTCGATTAATAAATTTAGGCGTCAAGCACACTTATTAGATAAGTAGATCAATGTCTACAGTAACATACCTACTATTACTTTCATTATGCATGCTGTGTTTGCCCATTTCATATATTGTACAATTAGAAATTAAGTTAGAATTTAGTAATATAATACAAGTATTATTGTACAATTGTTCGCAGACCAATAAAATAAATAAACTTATTTTAAAATGTACTATTCGCGCCAAGAACACTGACTATCTATTTACCTATAAATTATAGGTACTCACACGCTTCGGTCGGTCGTAACGTGCTAAAAGGAGTAAGAGTGACTATTCTCTGACAGAATCACACATGGCAAAAGACAAGACTGGTTGATGTGAACTCATTGCTACAAATTCATACACCTTGTATGATTTTTATATCATATCACGATATCGTCGTCTGATCGCCATCGCGCACGCAGCTTACACGAGTTGCTTGGTTGAATCTTTAGTTAAAGTCCAGTCGCCGAGCACGTAGAATTTTGTCTAATGACCCCAAGCTACCCATCCTTATCGTTCGCGCGTAATTATGTTGCTGTCGCGACTGTGCGACGGGCGCCCGCAGTGAGTGTGCGAGCGTGACAGTAATATAATTACGCGCGAGCGATAAGGATGGGTAGCTTGAAGTCATAGGACGAAATTCTACGAGCTCGGCGACCAGACTTTAGCTTACCCTAAAGTTTAGTCACACATTTGTTTCATTACAATAACATTTCTGTTGTAACATTCTCACAGGAACTCCGTCTAAACAACAACGGTCTCGGCATAACCGGGGGCAAGCTCCTGGCCAAAGCGCTGTCAACCAATCCTCGCCGGCTTAAAGTATTCGTTGCGGGACGGAACAGACTCGAAAATGATGGGGCTAAGGCGCTGGCTGCTGTTTTTAAGGTAACACATTTGTTTTGTATTAAAAATCTTTTTTTTTTCTATAGTCTGATCTGCCTGTGAGCACATAGCATTTTGTCCAATGACCCCAAGCTACCCATCCTTATCGCTCGCGCGTAATTATATTGCTGTCGCGACTGTGCGACGGGCGCCCGCAGTGAGTGTGCGAGCGCGACAGCAACATAATTACGCGCGAGCGATAAGGATGGGTAGCTTGGGGTCATTGGACAAAATTCTACGTGCTCACAGACCAGACTATAAGTAAATAAATGTTTTTGATTTGATTCTATTAAATGTAATACTGTTTTTTATTTTTCCAGAACATGGGCACCCTAGAGGAAGTAGCGATGCCACAAAACGGAATATACCACGTTGGAATCACAGCTCTGTCCGACGCCTTCAAGCAAAACCCACGACTCAGCACTTTGAACCTTAACGACAACACAATAGGGCCTAAAGGCGCTGTGGCAATCGCGCAAGCGTTACCTAGGTAAGTTTGTATAATTTAGGCGATTGTGTAGCTTATGGTCATTGGTATAGAGTGTGTAATAGCTTAGCAATAGGGTCTAAAGGCGTTGCTGCCATTGCCCAGGCAAGTTAAGTAATTTTATAACTTACTAGCTTTCCGCCCGCGGCTTCGCCCGCGTCGAATTTTGTCTGTCACAGAAAAACTTTATCGCGCGCGTCCCTGTTTCAAAAACCGGGATAAAAACTATCCTATGTTCTTTCCCGGGACTCAAACTATCTCTATGCCAAATTTTATCAAAATCGGTTGCGAGGTTTAAGCGGGAAAGCGTAAC